CCCGGGCCAGCTGTGACATCTGCCCCTTCTGGCATGTGTTTTGTGCCTGTGCCCCTGCCAAATGCAGCTCTGACCGGATGCCAGGTGCATGTAGACTCTGTGCAGGATCCCTCTGTCCCATGCCTGTCCCGGCTGTCCACCTGGAGCCGCTGCCCTCATCTCTGACTGCTGTGACCCCTCAGCCCTCCCACTGTGGCAGGGTGCCCTGTGGGCCAGCCCACTGCCTTGCTGGCGGCCACGCTGGGCAGTGTCAGGCCTCACCTGCCCCGTATGGCAGTGGAAGGGCACCTCATCTTAGCTTTTTTGTGTTGCTTTGGCAAAATGCCTCAAGCTGTGTAAGTAGTAATGCAGAGAAGGTTGCTGCACTTTGGGAAGCCGAGGAAGGAGGACTGGAAGTTCAAGTCCCACCTAAGCAACTCAGTGATAACCTACCTCAAAAACCAATAAAGGGGGCTGAAGATGTAGCTCAGTGGTAAATCTCCTCTGGGTTCAATGCCCAGTACCACAAAGAAGAGAGAGAGAGAGACAGAGAGAGAGAGAGGAAGGAAGGAGGAAATGAAGGAAGGAAGGAAAAAGAAAGAGAGAAAGAGAGACAGGGAGAAAGAAAGAAAGAAAGGGAGAGAGAGAGAGAGAGAAAGAAAGAGAGATAGAGAGAGAAAGAGAGAAAGAGACAGAGAGAAAGAGAGAGAAAGAGAGACAGAGAGAAAGGGAGAGAGAGAGAGAAAGACGGAGAGAAAGAGAGAAAGGGAGAGAGAAAGAGAAAGAGAGGGAGAGAAAGAGAGACAGAGAGAGAGAGAGAAAGGAAGGAAGAGGCAAGCCAGACTCGTGGCTCTGGAAACAGGAACGTCAAGACCAAGGGCCGAGAGCTGGCGACGGGCTTCTTGCCGCATCAGTGCCTGGTACGAAGCATCGCATGGAAACAGGAAGGGAGGCAGGCAGAGGGAGGCTGAGCTCGCCTTTTGTGAGGAGCCCACTCTGTCCATAATGGACTCAGTCCTGAGATGAGGCCATGAATCCATTACTCACAGACCCATCGCCTCTCCGGCTCCCTGCCCTCTGCGCTGTGCTGTCAGGGATGGAGGTGCAGCTCAGGAAAGATGGGGACCAGGTCAAACCACAGCCGCTGGCTGTAACAACCACAGACCAAGCCGCTCGGCAGGTATTTACTTCCCGCGCACCTGCAGGCTAAAGGCCACAGTGCAGTCGAGCAGGGTCAGCGTCTGGCGAAGGTGTTTTCCTGGCTTGAAGGCAGCCACGCGACATGGTGCCCTCACACGGTGGACGGAGAGCAAACTCCGGCCCCTACTGCTGCTCTTATGAAGACGCCAATCCCGTGACCTTACCCACAGCGACCTTTTCCCCACCCCAACACCACCCCACTCATCTCTGGGTCAACAGCAGGCAAATCTGGGTGGGGCGGGCACTCAGCTCCGGCAGAGGGAGTGGGCCCCTGGGTGTTCTCAACAACGCGTGCAGCAGGACCCGACCCGCGCGCCGAGTCCTGCCCCAAGGTGCTCTTCCGGTCAGCCCGTGCAGCTGAGCCGGTGCCGGTGCAGTCCCTGCCGGCTGCACCTCCTTCTGAGATGGGCAGCCAGCCGCACAGGGAGGGAAGCATGAGCTGCCACCCACCCTCCCACCGAGCGCTGAGGGCAGGCAGCGCCTTCCCACAGCCAGCTTCATTTCTGCTAAGACTCACACATCTCCTCCCTCTCTGCGAATAAGAGAAACATTCCTGGTTCTGGCGGCCACAAGAGAACCGGAGCTCGGCCCACCACAGGAGGGAGCAAGGGGGTTCCTCCCTGCGGCAGCTCCTGCCTTCTCAGCCCAGCGAGGTTCTTCCTGAGTTTACAGCCTCCAGGAAGGCATCCTGCTCTTCCTCCAGAACAGACGTCCTGTGTCTGGGGGTGTCCCGGGTCTTCATCCTGAAGAAGTAACTGGGCTCCACTCTGCCCAGCTGGTGTGCAGAATTCCAGGCAGGGGCAGCCGATGCCTCTCTGACTCTCAGGCCAGCGAGGCGGGCACGGTGGAGCAGAGGAGTCATGCACAGTCACCGAAAGAAAGCAGCGGGTGTGGGCCAGGCACCTCTGCTCTCCCTGTGTTGGACCCTGCAGGTCTAATGCATCTTGATCTCTGCTTCTCAACAGACCCAGACTAAAGGAGAAATCATATAGGAGCGATAAAATGACAAGGATGCTTTGAAGAAAAGTGGAGAAAAGGCCCAGTCCCAGCTTAGAGGAAGAAGACCAAGAAAGAAATGAGACAGTGAGGGTGGAGCAGGCTGTGGCCCACGAGGAAGCTGGTTTATGCCACTGAGTCCTCTGAGAAGGGCAGGAGACTTCGGAAACACAACAGTGCTGGAAGATTGTAAGGAAAAGTGCTTAGACCTTAGGGACCTTCCCTCCCTCACCTCAGCAGCAGTCTAGAGAGTTCCAACCTGCACAGAGACATAGGCCCAACCCAGGGGGAGAACTTTACTGAAACTTGGAGCCCAGGGCGTCCGCTGTGAGCCCCCCCCCCCCACACACCCAGGACTGCTGGGATGCTGGGACTGAAGGTTTCTCTGCAGAGACCAGGAACAGTGCTTCAAGACGGGGCCTGCAGGAAGCCCACCGCTTCCCAGGCTTAGGCTGTGTGGATTCCAGGCCCACTCTTAGCAAGAAACAGCAGCCACTGAGGAAGCTGGGTGGGGAGAGGCCTACTGTGAGGCTGAGAACAGAACAAGTAGCAGGGAAAGAAGGGGTGGATGACATAGAGACAGTGCCTGGGGGAGGGGAAAGAGTCCGGGAATAAAGGCCACTGCAGAGATAGGAGGATGCAACATGAATCCAGGATAGCCTGCTGTAAGAAGAAAACAATCAGGGAGGAAAAGCAATCTCCTAGATAGTAAAAATATTATGGTAGAAATATAAAGAAATATGAAGAAATTCAATCGGCTGGTTGAAGAATAAAGTTCAGCGGATTGTTTAGAATTATAAGAAAAAGACAAAAAAGATAACAAAAGAGCAGAATGGAAAGCATTATAAGATTGTTTGAAAACTTTAACATTCAAATAATAGAAGTTGCAGAAAGGAAGGAAGAAAATTGAAAGGGAAGAAATTATTAAAGAAACAAAATTCCTAGGGTAGAAGAATGGAAGCTGCTGTAATGAGAACTCCTGCAGAATACTCAGTGTGAAGGAAGAGGCGGGCAGAAGTGATCAAGATGCAAAGCACAGAAAAGGGGGAAAGAAACCCAACCAGAATGCCATCCATTGAGTCCGAATGTACTGAGTCAGAGTGCAGTGAAAGAATGCCTCCTAAGCTCTTCAGAGGATTTCCAATCCACGATTCCATGTTCGAACACAGTACCAATAAAGTGTGAGATTTTTCATACTTGGAAAAAAATTTACCTCAAAGAATTTTTCTTAGAATCTATTTGAGCAGATGCTCCCCCAACTAAGGACTGAATTAGAAAAAAGAAAGAAAGAAAAATATAAAATACTGTAGCTGAGAACAGCAAGCGAGAGCTCCCCAAAGGAGAAAAGCAGAGGCAACCGGAAGAGAAGTCAATGGTGTCACAGGGGAGGAGGCGCAGACAGAAAAGGAAGAAGAGGAAGGACAGACGGCCCGATTTGTAAATGTGAAAAGAGCACAGTCTATGGTGGCGGGCGGGGGGGGGGGCGCCTTAGGGATCCATTACTCAGAGAAACTCAGAAGGCCAAGGGGTTACCAAGAAAAGTCAATTCTTAACTCAAGAGAAAACAATACACTAGGAGACAGGTTGCAATTATGGTTTAAAAAAAAAGACACCTCAGTTGTGAATGTTGACCCAGGGCTAATATTTGTAAATAGTGAATGTTTTGCTGGGAGATGGGATGCTGTGATCTTACGGTGCTGTTTCCCATAAGAACAGTGTGCAGAATGATAGTGCCACATGTCACTCCAGGCCACAAAGGCTCTGCACCAGCTCACCAAGCCCAAGTTTAAAGCACTGGCAAGTTTCAGCCCAAAGGCTTTTACTGGGAAAAGGAACTTTAATGTGGACAAAACTATAATGGATTAAAATCCACCTCACCCCGGAAAGAATGGCTGCTATCAAGAAATCAGCCAATAACAAATGCTGGCGGGGGTGTGGGGAGAAAGGAACCCTTCTCCGTTGCTGGTGGGAGTGCAGACTGGTGCAACCACTGTGGAGATCAGTGTGGAGATACCTCAAAGAACTAGGGCTAGAGGTCCCATTTGACCCAGCTATTCCCCTGCTGGGTATCTTCCCCAAAGAATTAAAAGAATCATACCACA